CTCTCTCTCTCTCTCTCTGTCCCACCATTCTCTCTCTGGAGGCCGTTATCTTCTCCTCCCGGTGCATCTGCCCGACTACCAGGTAATACGAGCCTCATATGTAAATCCCATTCTGATTAACATTCACGTGTACCAACACGCAGAGAGCCCTACATCACACACCAGGGTCGACCTCCATGCTCGCCCCCTTCTCTCTGCTCACCACTTACTCATAACTGCCTCCGTGATGCGGACAAGCCTCCCGCGCGCCCGAGCGACGCGACGCGACGCGAGGCGAGCGAGCAAGCGAACTTGTTTGCGACGAAATTTAGCCGGCCAACATAATACGTGACGCAAAATTGCATTAGGGTATTACGTGACGTGGCGCTTGTCTTGACATATTAGAATAAATTATTCTTACATCACGCGGCTGTTACCGCGCGGTGGCCTCTTCCGACTTTCCGACGATCATTGTAAGATGGCTATTTGTATAAGACTGTATAGGCAGCGCCCTCGGAAACCGAGTCAGAATTTTTTGTCAATCTTACAATCGTATATAACCGAAACTTGTAATTCATTCTTGTTCATCGAGACCTCGGTCAGCAATCTTTTCACTTCGAGACTTGCAAGATTGTTCGCCGATAGATAACATGCTGCAGCTCCCTCGAAAAAATCACTGGCACGAGTCCGCGTGCGTCTTCGTTGCGCGGGGGTGCAAAAAGCGATCGTCGGTGATTTCGTTCGGTCGTGCTAGAGAGATATCGCAAACATTTTTCTAAATAAATTCTACTCTCGTCGAACGAGCTACGCCTCTCATGAGTGAGGGAGAGAAAGAGAGAGAGAATAACGGTCGTTTCTGTTTTGCTCTCGGCGACGCATGATGGAATGAGAAGGCGGAGCGCGCCGCGGTGCAGTAAACTTTCGCACCGCTTAGTGTCGTTTAAGGCGCCGCAAATCTTCACCAGGCTACACGCCGTTCAAGACTTCGCGCGCCGTGTTGTCGAATTATAGTCCAAGAATAGGGAGTTCCTCGCGGTAACGTTAAGTTACAGGCAGGCTTGCGGGAATTTGACGGTTAAACTTGGGACGCCACCGCCACACCGCCACCACCGCCACCGTCACTGTAACGCAGGGACGTTTTAATTGTGTCGCTCTGGCGTGACAGTTACTTCGGCTTTAAACGCGCAACGAGCATGAGGAAAGATTTCCACGTGTGTCCCGTACATACATATTCCATATGTTTAAAAATAATCGAGGAAAAGATGCATAATATCTGCGTTAGTATTTAAAATATTTTATTGTAAAACGCGAAATCAGCGGACATACTTTATCGCTTAACAATATCAAACGTTGCTTATAATGTATTCCCTTGTATAATATTCCGTGTTTCATCCGTTTAAAGTCTTCCCTTTGTATTTTATAACGAATAAAATATAGTAATATCGCGCTTCCGCTAATTGCAGCACAATCACGCATATAATTACGGGTGAGCTTCCTGCCGACGATCTTGAGGCTCTCCTTACCGCATAGTGGCGGCCTCGCGCCTCGTCGAGCCCCTTTAATTTCCGAATAATATATTTCGAGATTAAAATGCTATTCCCGGGTGTTACGGTGTTAGGTAAGCTACGAAGGAAACGCGCGAGCACGATATGAAACGCCTTTCGTCCTCTGGCGAAGCCGTAATTGCGCAATATCCTCGCTTAATCTGACACACTTAAGCTAAGTCTCCGTTCTAAGTCTGTCAAACAGACCGTTCTCTAAATATTTTTGCCTTACACGTGAATATTCAAATATCCTCGAACCTCTTCATGCCGCTTCTCGCCCTTTCCGCTATCTTTCTCTCGACGTTACTTATCAAGAATATAAAATTAATTCTAATCTGTTTCGAGGATATTCTCAAGAATAACGTTAAGACTGGTGCGATTTCACGGACAGATCACGCGAATCGAGCACGCTATCCCCCGAAGTCGACCGGCCGAATACTTACCTAATACCATGCATACAAGGCGCGGATTTTGCCGGGCGTTTAATATCATGCCCCGTATCACCTCGGCGAAAACGCAATACTCCCCGCCGCGCCGGCGGAAGCAGAGGTTTTCCAAAACTGCGCCGCTGGATCGCGAAATATGTGATCCACCGGCGGGAATTCGTAGCGCCTTGAGAATGTGAACATCGCAGGAATCCGGTGAATGTTTTTCACGTAATGGTGAAACTCGCATTATTTGACGTTCCCCCAAAAGTTCGAAGTAAGAATGGAATTCTGGCAATATACTTTCAGAAAGGATGAAACCAGCGAAAGCGCGCGCGCGCGCGCGCACATGGAGAATACGTTCAGAGAAGATACTTTTTAACGATATATCCCGAAAATCCCGAAATACCTACATAAAATGTTTTTTTTGTCAAGATTTGAGATTCGACGTTATTGTTATTTGCCGCGCCAAACATTCGCGTGTTTTACAATGATACTTTTATACAGTAATAGGAAATTTAATATCATCCCTTCATTTCAAGAGTGACATAATTCAGAGAACATGTTTTTGATTTAACCATGAAGAAGTTTCTGTCAATCAAAAGTGAGCTAACTCAATTTCATCAAAAAATCATCGAAACCGTCACAACTCAAAGAATTGTTTTTTATGAGTCGTAAAAATGAAAATGACAAAAGTGACAAATGATAAGTTTGTTATATGTTTTATATGTGTTATATGTGTTATATGTTTGTTATATGTTATATTAAGAAAATATATTCTTTTATAATTTAATTAACCGATATTATTTGATTAATCAATAATTTTCTGTCAAGTTGAAAAATAGTTTCTCTCCTTACTTGAAAAACTTAATTTTATGTAATTTAATTATTTGTTTATTATTTAATTAGTTGACATTATTTGATTAGTCAATAATTTTCTGTCAAGTTGAAAAATAATTTTTCGCCTTCCTTAGAAAACTTAATTCTTTTAAGTTATGTCACTTTTGAGCAAAAGCTTGCTACGTAATAAAACATATACTCGTATTATATGCATAATTATTTAAAAATCTTTTTAATTACATTAAGTTTGTGCATCGCTCAATCAAAATGCGCTTTGCAATGCGGCCTTTTCTCTACATTTACAAAGCCATATCGTGCGCAACACAACGAAAGATACATAACGTATGACACGGATAAATTTTTCCCCCCACGTGATGAATGAACTTTAATTCGTCAGACCTTGCGGACTCACAGTGAACGATGTTTGTCACACCACGGAATCCATTCGTGCACGTCCACGTTTCTGCAGCGTGCCGAGGAATATATTCGCGGCAATGAAGTCCGCGGGCTATGCCCGCATTGTAACTGGCAGCTAAATTAAACTTTGTTTATCAGTCCATAACGATTTTCCATTTTTTTATCTCGGCGAACTCCGCGGGACTGCTGCGCACATTGCATTAGAAACTGTCCGTTTTTCATTTCATCCCGGTCGCAGAACGTTCTAGGGTTCCGATTTATCAAATTTTCTTTTTATTTTTTTTCAATTTGTGACGCAAGTTGTTGTCACGACGAATCGCGTAAGGGGAGATGGGGATCCTTCGTACACGGGGCACATACATTCATTCAGTAATTCGGGAAGAATCGCGCAGATTCGGAACACGTCTATACATATTTAGTTAGTCTTATTGCGCGGCCACATGCCAGCAAAATTTCATATTAATCGGACTACATAAACTGACAGAGCAGAATAATACGTGTTTTAGCGCTCTGAATAAATTTTCCAAAGTGTTTGACAAGTAATTTAAGATATCTTTGATTAAAGTGATAAATAAGAACAATATTTTTCTAGTAAGTATAATGTCTTAAAATTATACTTTAATGATTAATTTTATCGTATTGTTAGTGAATTCTATAAAAAAAAGCGTAATTATTTTCTTTTGAATTTGGAGTAGATTCGTACACAAGCATCTGATGAGGGCATCTTTCGTATATGTATATATTATTTTGTTACTTAATTTAAAAAATTATTTTAGTTAAACGTTTGATCGGAAGA